GAGCCGGTCATGTTGCTTTTGAACCAGGCAAGACCAAATTCCTAGGCAGCTCTGGAAACACCAAATAAGCTAGAGGAGACCTAGGCTTCCTGACAGATTTCAGTCCCGCTGCTGTTGTCAGAGTTCACGTAGTAAACACATGGTTCCCCTACCACCATCAGCTGGGCATGATTGATGTTCCAAGTGAAGGTGGTCATGGTCTGATTCTGTGGATCCACAGTAGAGTCCTTCAGGATGTACACCAAGTGAGCGACATTCGCAGGAAATAGGGCAGCCTGTAGGGCATCCTGTTGGTTTTAGTCAGGAGTCGCCGTGATAGGAGCTTCTGCTCGGGTCACCTCGTGATATACTACATCTTCTGTCAAGGTATGTTTACTATAGGGATTTGGGTGCAACCTTTCCAAGGTAGAAGGCAATGAACACTTGGGTCCCACAAACTCCAAACCACACTCTGGCCCAGGAAATACTTTACCATAGTCCTGGCTGGGGCAGGCTCAGCACCTGTGCAGCGTTAGGGGTATGGAGCCCAGGGTGAGGCTTGTGGTGGTGGGCCCAAGCTTAGTGCATGGCTAGCAGGCCAGCAGCTCAGTTACCACCACCACACCACACCCAAGCCACTGCAGCCACCATGAGTTGTCTTGAGAACGGCAGTGGTTATTAATCTAAGCTGCATATTAGTGTGACCTGGGAAGATTTTAAAAATTGTGATACCTGTTCATCACCCCAGACTAATTAAGTCAATCTCTCGGATTGGAGTGAAAGCATCCGTCTTTTCTTAAAGTCTTCAAAGTGATTCTGATACATAGAGCTTAGTATTAATTTGTAGTTAACCACACTTGTATGAATTATTTTTTAAAAATTAGGGTTAGTTGTGGTGGCTCACATCTGTAAATCTCAGAATTTTGGAAGACTGAGGTAGGAAAAACCCAGAATACTTGAGACCCTAAGGTTATGTTAGTGATTCACTAACCTGCAGAAGGTTTGGGGACATGACTTCTTTGGATTGCTTGAGGACAGGAATTCAAGACTAGCCTGGGCAACAAAGCAAGACCCTGTTCTTACAAAAAAAATTTTTAAATGTGCTAGGTTTGGTGGTGTGCACCTGTATTCTTCAGGAGGCTGAAGCAAGAGGATAGCTTGAGGCCAAGGGGTTCAAGGTTGCACTATGATCGTGACCCTGCAGTCCATCCTGGGTGATAGAGCGAAACTCTGTCCCTTAAAAAAGTAAAAATTAGTATAGTTAAAAAAGAAATTAGGGCTCAGTGCCTGTGGCTCCAGTGGCTAAGGCACCAACCACATACGCCTAAGATGGCGGGTTTGAATCCAGCCCGGGCCTGCCAAAACAACAATGACGGCTGCAA